CCACGCCGCCTCCTCTTTCCCTCCTCCGTTTAGTCTCAGTTCCCGGTTTCTCTGTCAGCTGCTGTCCGTGGTTCTGAAACAGACCACATTGCTGAGGAAAGGAAACAGACGGAAGAAACGGCTCTTCCCCAACACGACCCTAATACCGGTGAAGGAATAAAGGCCCATAGTGAAGCAGGAGGGGCTTCCTCTTGAAATGGTGGCGGAGGAGGAGGCAGCTTCACGACAAGCGCCAGGGTCTGGGAGGAGGAGCCACAGCTATGCACCCTCCAGGCTCTTGCAGCCTCTCTGGGAGCAGATCCGAATGTAAAGTGACCAGCATTCTGGAGAGCCAGCAGGTGAACCTGAGGCAGGTCTGAGAGCCTGGAGCTGCTTCCTATTACATTGGATACATCTGCTAAGCTAGGTGTGGAATATAGAATCCCTACTGCTTTCCACTGTTTGCTTGTTTTTCTCCCCCTGAACAGAGAGAAAGCCAGCATTCTGACTACTGCCTCTGAATCCCTACTGCTTGCGCTCAGTGCCAAGCCTCATCACCCATTCCCCAAAGGAGACCGTTTCACCTTAGTGACATCATGGCGAAGATGCTCCCAGCACAGGAGGCAGCAAAAATCTACCACACTAACTATGTGAGGAATGCCCGGGCCATGGGGATCCTGTGGGCACTCTTCACCCTTTGCTTTGCTGTGATCATGATGGTGACTTTCATCCAGCCATATTGGATTGGAGACAGCATCGACACACCACAGGCTGGCTACTTTGGCCTCTATTCCTATTGCATTGGCAATGCCCTTACAGGAGAGCTCATCTGCAAAGGTAGCCCTCTGGACTTTGGCACCATCCCCTCGAGTGCCTTCAAATCAGCCATGTTCTTTGTGGGTATCTCCACATTCCTTATAATTGGCTGCATCCTCTGTTTCAGCATGTTTTTCTTCTGTAATGCAGCCACGGTCTACAAGGTGTGTGCTTGGATGCAGCTGGCAGCAGGTGAGTTGCACAAAGTGAATCTCGGGGAGGGGTTGTGGAACCTACTTAAGAGTAACACTTGAATTATAATCACCTCAGGCCTAGAGATATATTCCAGGGGACAATGGAGCTCCTTGAGGTCCCCAACCATGATTGAAAGAGAACCTTTGGAGATATGAGAAGTGCAAAACCATCCCAAAACTATTGCTTTGGGGTTAAAGTGGTTCTGGTGGGAACAAACTAGTGGTTTAGTCCAAGACCTGCCACTTCCCACAGGAAGAATAGGTACAATATAAGCATCCAACATCATAACTATCCTCTGCCTGTGTTCTATAGATCTACTCCATAAAAATCACCCATATAAAGGTTATAAATTTACCAATAAAATTTACCAGTACCAGTAAAATTGGCAGCAAAAAGCTACATTTAGAATACTTAAGTTTCCTTTTGAGACTCTCACTAAAGACATTCTAAAAGACAAAGTTGGTTTCTGGTGTTGCAATATAAACATCAGTTCCTATGTCTCCAATTTGTTAAACACTGGCCTGAGGAAGTGAGATAAAAATGGCATTGACTAATACCTTGTCTTTAAATCTTGCATTAAAAAACAATAATAACTTGTAGCAAGGAGCTCTTGTCCCAGGGTACAGGCTACAAAGTGTCTGCACAAACATAAAGTAAAATCTGAAAACAAAAAATCCATGTCCGGGCACCTCCAGATATGGAACTCAAAGGGGAAGAGGAAATGAGAAGTACAAGCAATAGCACTTGAATGTGGAACTTAGAAACAAAAACAAAAAACCCTAAACAGATAGCCACCTTCTATTGCATTCCCTTGGAATATATACTTACTTTACTACAATTATATCTCACCTTTCTGACATCATGGCAGGATTCCAAAGATTAGATCCAGGCTTGCTTAGCTTGCTGTATCACATACCCATACACCTTAACCTGGATATCCTTCATATTGTGGAACACGATAAGCCATGCCAGTTTCAAAAGTTGAGAGAACTGATTATTTTAAAACAGAATAAAGAGGACAAAGGAGGAAAACACATAAGGAAGAAAAGTTGGGGTGGGGTGTTTTAAGGAACTGGCTATCAGCAGCCAGAATATTTTGAGGCTATAGAGAAGCTATTTTTAGTAGGGATAGAAATAAGAAATTCAACAAGAAACCTGAAGCCTAACTAGAAGAGAAAGGCAGGGGGCCCTGCTGGAATATACAGAGAGTTACTGGCCCAGTTGTGAAAGGCTTTAAAAGCAGAGGTACAAAATAGATATTAAAACATAATAATCCCCAAAATGGAACTGTTTCCTATTACTAACATTAAAGTGTGGAGTGGGAAAGGGGGAAGATGAGAAAAACAACCACATCAGCAATGACAATATCAGACTATCAAAGTCCAAACATAGTCTTCCACTCCAATCCTGTTCATGTTCACTTGGAAGAAAGTCTTGCTGTAACCATTGGGTCTTATTAATAAGTAAGTGTGCATAGAATTTCAGCACTAGTCATATAGATGAGAGAAAGGAAGAAACTGAAAAAAATGGCCAAGATACAGCAACAGCGTCAATTTGCTAAGGAAAAATAATGGAAAACATGCATTAATTCTATGAACCTTAAAAAAGTAAAAGGGAGAGAAAATGTTTATTATAATTATATCACATTTGTTTTTCAGAAATTGGCGGTGAGTATGGGCATAGCCAGTGTGGTGCATAGGCCAGAATGCTGCTCTAAGCTCTGAGACACCCAAGTCCAAATATCCACTTTACTAAGCGGCTCATTGAGTGACCTTGGGCTGGTGACACACTCTCAGCCTGGCCTGTCTCACGGGAGATAGAATGAGGAAGAGAGGACCAAATGTGTGACCCTGAGCTACTTGGAGGGAGAGTGAGATTAAAAGGTACTCACTAGGTAGAGATGGATAAGAGGCAATTTGTATGTATTTCAGGTACTTCAGAAAAACTGATGGAGACAGAGAAGGAGAAAAAAAATGTCAGATGCTTATAAATATAAAACTGAGATTAAGATGAGCAGATGGGATCATCAAGAGTGTAAACAGTGGCCCTGACCTGGATAGCCCGGGCAAGCCCACTCTCATCAGATCTCGGAAGCTAAACGGGGTCGAATCTGGCAAGCGCTTGGATGGGAGACCTCCTTGGAATACCAGCAGTAGGGAGGCGGGGGCAGGCTTTATTCAGCCACCTCTGAATATCCTCCAGGCCCCCAGTAGGGGTCAGGCACCAGAGGCCACCATGACTTCCCGGTGCACACACAGTCACCAGAAATCGCCATGACTTTCAGGGGCGCGCACACACACTCACACACACATGCACATATGAAAAATGCCACCAAAAATAATGTACACAGTGAAACAAAGAAACTGCATGGGGAGAGACAGGAAGCTACAATCTGAAACACAGTTTGAAAACAAACTTCTTAGACAATACATTTCATAATGGGAAGCTCATTTTGAGAGTGTGCAGTTAGGTATTTCCCCCTCTGAAAGACAAATGTAAGTTATTTAATGTAAGTAATGACACAGTGGTACAGCTCTACTGGTACAGTGGAACAGATCCAGATATCCAGTTTATGTAAGAAGTACACTCAAATGAGGACATCTGCCATGTGGTAGCTTTCCACGTAGCCTAAGATATTCTGTTTACGTTGGTGCTTACATGATTAATAAGAGCGACTGCCTCATCCCTGTCCATAGTGGTGAAATTCTAAGAGAAGGCACACAGTAAGGGTCTCGTGCAGTTTTTATGAGCCCAGGGTCTATCAGTGAGGCCTGTATGCTCGACAGCAAGGTAATGCTGAAATACAAAAGAGACACATGAAGCCCTTTTGAAATATTTATGTCAATGAGAAGGGTTATATTGCCAGCATTGTTCTGTTACAGCATGTGGAAAAGAAACTGCAGCAAAAATGCCAGCAATATAAACTAAAAATGAGTGAAAGTGCAGCAGCATTAATTTGGCATTTTAAACAAATCAGAAACAGAATAAATCCAGAAGGATTAGTCTCTTGTAATGCAATTAAACAGGAGTCCAGTAGCACCTTAAAGACTAACAAAATTGTTCTAGTGTATGCTTCCATGAGTCATAGGAGTGGTTGGGCATTCCTGTGTATCTGATTAAGTGAGCTCTGACTCATGAAAGTATAATTTCAAGTGTAATTCAGATGTTGAAGTCAGCTGAAAGAGGATCAAGAACGCCAGGCAAGATCAGGAACTCTTGGCTCAGCTCTTTCCGCCCTTATATAAATGATCACATGAGCAGTAGCAAAATTGTTAGCTTGGGCAGGCGGAGAATACAGTTCCAGAGATATAAAATGACCTGTTAAATACTCAAGATGGACAGCAATGGATGTAAGAGTCTATAAGAAATTATTACCTTTCTTTCAGTAGGTAGTGGTTTGTTCAATCATATTATAACCTTGTCTGTTGTGTAAGCAGATTTGCACACTGGGGTTAGATGGATGTGTGGTAACTAACACATGGTGAAAGGTAGCTTGTTGCACTACACATAGCAAGTACTGTGCTACAGAGAGGCTGACAAGTAGATTACTCCAAGTGCCATTTCTCTAAAATTAGTTTTAGAGAACATTTCCAAGGTACAATCGGTGGAGCACTAGGAACAGTAAACTGTACTCTGAGACCATCTAATGAATTCCACAGGTACTGCTGAAAAGACTGGATTACCATTTATTAGCAGGTTAATGCCCAAAGCCAGAACCTTGGACATCAGCACCCATCTAGTAGTCATTGCTGGTGGCTGGAGACATCACTTCCAAAAAATCTTGATGAAAAGTTGTGGAAAGGAATTATTGAGCCACATATATGAATCAGCATGGTATAGTCTTTAAGGTGTTGGCCTGGGATCCGGGAGACCCAGCACTGAATCTCCACTCTGCCAGGGAAGCTCTTGGGCCAGGCACACGCCCTCAGCCCAACCTACCTCCCGAGGTGGTTGTGAGGATAAAAACAGATGAGGGGAGAATGATATTGGAAGCTACTTTGGAACCATATTGGGGAGACAAGCAGGGCATAAATATCAAAAGCAATCACCCACTCACCAAACTTTTTTAAAAAGCAAAGGCAGTGATATTCATCACAACTACAACACAAGCATGCCCTAAACCAGTTCATCATCCTGTCCCCAAGTTGAGGAAGCTAACCCTTCTCTTATCAATCTTTTTTGTTTAAATCTATATTTCTCTCTTTGTATTGTGAGTACTCTGGAAGATGTTCCTTTTGTTGGCTTGATGGAGACCTATCACCAGTGTTCCCTCTAAGCTGAGTTAGTGTGAGCTAGCTCACAATTTGTTAGCCTCTGGCTCACACATTTTTGTCTTAGCTCAGGAAGGATGGCTCCAGAGCAAACTAATTTGTGCAGCAGCCAAATCGCTCACACACAACTTGAAGGCCAGGAGCTCACAAAGTAGGATTTTTGCTCACAAGACTCCATAGCTTAGAGGGAACATTGCCTATCACTACCCTTTTGGAGCCTGGAGTACTTGCTGCCCAGGAAACCCAATCTGAACTGTTTCAAGCTGGGGAGTGAGGGGAATGTAGTGAGGGCACCTAGTGAAGAAAGGCTTGGGTGGCAAGCATTGAAGACCATCACAGGGAAGTGCAGCTCATCAACTGATTTAATCAAATGAAGATGTTTTTAAAGATTTTTTCCCATTTACATGAACATGAGGAAACCATTTTAGAACAAAAGCTCTGTATTTAATAATATGGTCTAAAGAGATGTTGTCAGGTTGGTCTCTCAGAAAGATGCAAAAGTCTTTTATGGGGCTTATTACTATCAGTGCAGAAGACTCTTTATCTTATCTTTTAAATCTCAGTCTTACATATAAACCCACTCAAGCCCAAAGCAGCATCAGGGTTGGCCCGCTTAACCAGAGCTGCTGTAGTTCGGTAGCTGAAGGATGAGGCTCTGATTGCAAAAAAAAAGAAGGAAAAATAGAGTATTTATGCATTTCACTGCAGTTTGGAGGGGGTTGTTTC